TTTAAAACTTTACATGAATAGATTTTGGTTTGTTTGGAGAGTTTAGTGATATGCCTGGAGAGATAATGGAGACATGGGTGTGTCAAAATTAGAGGGGCATGATGGTTCATTTTATGTGTTAACTTGGCTGGGTCACCGAATGTTCAGATAGTTGGTCAAACATTATTCTGGATATTTCTGTGTTTTTGAATGAAATTAACATTAAAGTCAGTGGACCTGAGTAAAGCAGACTGCCCTCCATCATGTGGGTAGGCCTCATCAGTTGAAGACCTGAGTAGAACAAAAAGACCTGCCTCTCCCTGTAAGAGAGAATTCTATAGCAGACTGTCTTTAGATTTTATCAGCAGCATTCGCTCTCCCAGATGATTTCCTGCTGGCCTTTAAATTTCATCTGTACTATTGGCTGTTCTGCTTCTCTGCCTGTTGACCTTTAGACTGGAACTATACCATTGGCTCTCTGTCTCTCGAGCCTGACAGGTCACACTGCATATTTGCACTTGCCAGTTTCCATAATTGTGGGGGCCAATTCCTTATAATAAATCTCTTTCTACATATGTACACATCCCGTTGGTTCTGTTTTTCTGGAGGATCCTGACTAATACAGTGGGCATCACTGGTCTCATAGTCAGTTTTTGGTCATCTAGAAGATACTTGTTGACAGGGAGTAATGATTAATTGAATTATACAATTATTACCAGTAGGCTGCTTCTTTTACCTCAGGACTATTTATCTGAGAGTTGTAAATACAACTTGAATCTCACTTTCCTTTTCCCTTTTGCAGCCTCCATCTTCTACGTTTATCCAGATTCAGAGAGAGAATCAGTTAAAATGAGCATTAAAGAGAACTTTGAAGGGGAAATAAATAACCACAGGCTTGTCTGATGAGTGTGTAATAGAAGAAGGATCAGGGATGGCAAGGCCAGAACTAATGGAGAGATTATGCACTGCATGGTCTTTTAAAGCCCCAGTGGGCAGGTAACATTCTCTCCTCCTAGCTGCCTCACTGAGTAATAAATTGCTGGGCTACTCAAATGCAATGTCACTTTTCTAAAGTTAGGTACCCCTGACTCTACTGAGCTGATCACTACTGCCAATGGTATACTTTTCCTGGCTCTTTAACTCATCCTAACTTGTTTCCTAAAATTGCTGTCTCTGTTCAGAAGTTGCAATGACTTAAGAATATTTCTGGCCGGGCACGGTGGCTCAAGCCTGTAATCCCAGCACTTTGGGAGGCCGAGACGGGTGGATCACGAGGTCAGGAAATCGAGACCATCCTGGCTAACACGGTGAAACCCCGTCTCTACTAAAAAATACAAAAAACTAGCCGGGCGAGGTGGCAGGCGCCTGTAGTCCCAGCTACTCAGGAGGCTGAGGCAGGAGAATGGCGTGAACCCGGGAGGCGGAGCTTGCAGTGAGCTGAGATCCGGCCACTACAGTCCAGCCTGGGTGACAGAGCGAGACTCCGTCTCAAAAAAAAAAAAAAAAAAAAAAAGAATATTTCTTGGAAGAAGTAGGATGAAAATGGGGTTTTAGCACCTAACTTAGCTGGAGTAAAGACAATTCTCATTCAGTGGTTAAATCGCTGTGTATTTAAGTTGTGTTTAGATCCTAGTGAGTGGATGTCAACATTTAAGAATACTGAAGCAGTACACAGATGGTACCATATGTCCAGAGGGAACCCTCTAAAAGGCAGTTGTATGGATATTTGGAAATATTTTAAAATATTTATATAGATGACCAAGTTTGGGTACCTCACTCTGAAAGAAAGATATCTTAAGCAAATGTTGTTAGCAATTCATCCAGGTACTTCAAACACTTACTGAATACCAGTAACTGCTATTCTGGTCTATCAAATGTGAAGGTAGTTTGTGTGAGACATTCAGTGTGTCATGGAGAGCCAGGATTGGTTGGGCTGATCCGGCAAGCCAGACTTCTTCCACTCCACTCCCAGTTATCCATAAATCAGTGAAAGACGATGTTCTCAGATAGCAGGAGATTGCTTTTTTGGTTGAGGGTATAGAAATATATTTGCTTCTTTTCTAGATCCTCTAAATTAACACAATTAACCTCTCTTACCTCTCACATCCTAGCTCCAAAACAATAACAACAACAACAACAACAACAAGAAAACTGCAGTTTAATGGCCTTGTCAAAATGCAGTGGGGTAAAGACAGGGGAAAGTGCAGTCACATGTATTAAAAAGATAGATACCAATTTGGTGTTTCTTATGAAAAAATTGATTGACATGTATTCCTGCATATTGTTCATTAACAAATTAACAGCTCCAGCCCCCACTTTTATTCAATGGCATTAGCTCTTGGTTGGTAGTTCTGTCTATAGAGGAGGAAAAAAATCAGCTGTCAGGAGCAACCTTCCTTCCTACTTGCTTTCTTACCTTTTGCATTTACCTTTTGCACTTTTGGAGGCCAACATGGGCAGATAGCTTGAGCCCAGGAGTTCAGTGTAGAACCTTATGTAGGTAGAGTCAAACGAATAATTAGTCCTCAACAGGAAAAGTCACTGGTCCTTTAGTAAGATAAATGAAGTGAATATTACAAATATTTGAAAAATTACTTTGCAGAGACACAGAAATATCTTGTGTGTAAGTATACCCTGTTAAATTAATTCTTGGAAGCGTCTGGGTTTGTCTCTTGACATTTCTTCTTATCTCTGGCCTCTGAGCTCTGTAAAGCCTACTTAGGAAGTATATAGGTGTGAAACTAATGTAACTTTGGAGTGTTTAGGGATGCATTATCAATAAATAATACTGAGCATTAATTGGAGAAGGTTGAGGTTATCACATTGCTTTGTTTGTATTTTTTGACATAACTTGCATATTGTTAATTAACGAGTTAACATCTCCAGCCCCCACCTGTATGGAGTGACATTAGCTCTGTATTGGTATTAGTGTAATCATGAAAATGCTTGCAAGTTCAGCCTAATGGCTTTATTTTCAGAGAGCTTTATAACTGATCTTAGAAACAAACATAAAGGGCTCCTAAAGAGAAGTCTTTTACTAAAGATCTTTGATGCTAATATTAACAGTAAAGATTCCTTTTAAAGTGACAAAAGCCAGTATGTTGTGAACTCTTAAAATGGAAGCATATTGTCAGTGCATTTTATCTTTTTTGAAAGGGACACAACAACTTCAGATTTTCTGATATTAATTAAGAATTAGGCAGAATCAGTTTTGAGATGGGGTCTCTGTCATCCAGGCTGGGATGCAGTGGTGCAATCATAGCTCACTGCAGCCTCAACCTCCCTGGGTTCAGGTGACCTTTCCACCTCAGCCTCCTAGACAGTTGAAACCTATTATAGGCATGGGCCACCATGCCTGGCTAATTTTTTTTGTATTTTTTTTTTGGTAGAGACTGGGTTTTACCATGTTTCCTAGGCTGGTCTCCAGCTCCTGGGCTCAAGCTGTCTGCCCAAATTGACCTCCCAAAGTGCTAGGATTACAGATGTGACTCACTGCACCCTGCCCAGTTAGTATTTTACACTGTAACACAAAGGTCATATAATTTCTGGTTCTTAGGGGAAATATTAAAACTCAGAACTGGACAAGAATGGCTGTTCAGAATCATCACATATTAATGAAGAGGAAAAAACTAGGAATTAAAAAAAGAGCACTTCTCTTTCTCTTCACTTAAGTTCTACTTTTTTTTAAATCTTTTTTTTTGTGGAAAGGAGTTATGATAAAGACAGAAGAGCCAAAACTATAAAACTCTTAGAAGAAAACATTGGAGAAGAGTATCATGACATTGGATTTGGCAACGATTTCTCAGTTATCACACCAAAAGCACAGTCAACAAAAGAAAAAATAGATAAGTTAGATTACATAAAAATTAAAAACTTTTGAGCATCAAAGTATACCATCAACAGAGTGTAAAAGCATCTTATGGAATGGGAGAAAATATTTGCAAATCATGCATGCTTTACAGAATATATAAAGAATTCTTACAACTCCACAAGAGAAAAAACAAAAAAACTGAATTAGAAAATGAGTAAAGGGCTCAAGTAGACATTTCACCAAATAAGATATAAAAATGGTCAATGAATAGATGCTCAGTATCACTAATCATTAGGGAAATGCAAATCAAAATCACAATGAAATACCACTTTTCACTCATTGTGATGACTTTTTTTTTTTTTTTCCAAAAAACCCAAAAATAACAAGTGTTGGCAAGAATGTAGAGAAATTGGAACCCTTGTACATAGCAGATGGGAATGTATAGTGATGCAACTGCTGTGGAAAACGGTATGGCTATTCCTTAAAAAAGTTAAACATAGAATCACCTTAATGATTTAGCAATTTCACTTCTGATTGTATGTGCTGAAGAAGTGAAAGCAGGGACTTGAATAGATATATTTGTATACACATGTTCATGGCAGCATTATTCTCAGTAACCAAAAAAGGTGGAAGCACTGCAAGTGTCCATCAATAGATGTCCATCAATAAATAGGACACTGCAAGTGTCCATCAAATGTGGTGCATACATACAATAGAATATTATTCAGCTTTAAAATGGAAGGAAATGCAGATACATGCCACAACATAGATTAACCTTGAATATGTTCTACCAAGCGAAATAAGCTAGTCACAGAATGATTAAAATTTTATATCTTTTATATGATATTTCTAGAGTAGTAAATCAATAAAGACAGAAAGCAGAATGGTGGCTGCCATGGGTTGTGGAGAGGGGAGTGGGGAGTTACTGTTATTATAATGAGCATGGAGTTTCAGTTTGGGAAAATGAAAAAGTTCTGGAGGTGCATGGTGGTCTTGGTTGTACAACAGTGTGAGTATACTTAATGCCAGAGAACTGTACACTTAAAAATGTACAGATAGTAAATAGACGGTAAATTTTATGTGTATTTTACCACAATAAAAATAAACTAAGGAAGAATAACACAAAATTTACTTTAAATATTAATTTTTTTAGCTTGTTGCGTTGAATTAACATTTATCAGTTGGAAAAAACTGTTTTTTTTCCTGGCAGTCTCAAGATGAAACAGAACGAAATCAAGCTCTGTTACAGTAAGTACACTAGTTTTTGGCTTCATTATATTGTAGGTATTTTTGTCATTTTGCACATCTAAGATGAATATTCATTTTTAAGAGTTTTAGAATTGTTGTATATTTTTGAATAATTGCCCATTTTGTAGCAAAAATATATGTTATTTTACACACGTTCTAGATAAGTTTTATTTCATAAGAAGCATTAAATCAGATTAACTTAGTTCTCTATTATTTTAAAAGCGAATTTAAAGCATAGCAAATTTATGAAGGGGCTGCAAATAAAAACAGCATGAAGGAAGAATTTGTAAAACTTACTGAAATTAGACTTCATACAATTATTATACCTTAAGAAACTCGACCAGGCGTAGTGGCTCACACCTGTAATCCTAGCACTCTGGGAGGCTGAGGCAGGCAGATCACCTGAGGTTGGGAGTTCGAGACCAGCCTGGCTAATATGGTGAAGCTCCATCTCTAATAAAAAATACCAAATTAGCCGGGCGTGTTGGTGAGCGTCTGTAATCCCAGCTATTCGGGAGACTGAGGCATGAGAATTGCTTGAGCTTGGGAAGTGGAAGTTGCAGTGAACTGAGATCGTGCCACTGCACTCCAGCCTGGGCAACAGAGTGAGATGAGACTCTGTCTCAAAAAAAAAAAAAAAAGAAAAAAAAAAAAAGAAAGAAAGAAAAAGAAACTATCCTTTCAGTTCTTTTAAAACAATGATTCTCAAAGTATGGTCTGTGAACACTTCGGGAGTCCATGAGATTCTTTTAGAGGGTCTGTGAGGTCAAAACTATTTTCATAATAATACTAACACATTAGTTGCCTATTTCATGGTATCTACATTTGCACAATAGTGCTATAGTAATGGTGGATAAAATGCTGGAGTCTTAGTAGGAATCAAGGCAATGGCACCAAAGAATACTAGTAGTCATTGTGTTTTTTCACTGATATGTGCTCTCAGTTACAAAAATAAAAAGAAGGCAGTTTCACTTAATAGAATTTGTGTTTGATGAGGCAGGAAAATTATTAATTTTAGTAAGTCTCCACCTTTGAGTATATATATTTTTAATATTCTGTGTGATGAAATGGAAAGTATGCTTAAAGCATTTCTGTGCATACTGATGGGTGGGGGGTGAGAGGGAAGATCAGATGGAGACCTTGGTTCTGAAGCTTATTTCTGAGGCCTTTCAATTTTCTTTAATTCAGAGTACTCAGCATGACATGATGTCATATTTTGGCGTATTATTTTCTGTACCCAGGCAATATTCACAATTATCCAAAAAGGCTACTAAAATACTCCTCCCTTTTCCAACTCCATATCTGTGTGAAGCCACATGTTTGTTGTATACTTCAAATAAAATTATATATGGCAACAGATTGAATGCAGTAGCAGATATAGGATGATAGTCATCTTTCATTTAAGCCACACATCAAAGAGATTTTTTAAAATGTCAAACATTGCAACTTTTCTCACTAATTTTTTTCATTTTGGGAAAGATAATTTTTCATAAAAATATATTAATATGTTCCTGGATTATTGCTATAATTTAAAAATTTATATATATTTAATTTTGTTCTTCATTTTAGTTTCTAATATGTAAATATAAATAAGTATAAGACACCAATAATTTTTAAGAGTATAAAGGAGTCTGAAGATCAAAAAGTTTGAAAACTGCTATTGTTGTAAAATAACTCTTTTGCCCCAGCTACCAACATTTAGAGAAGTAGAAAAAAGAAAAGATGAAGGAAGACTAATATAGCATCCATATTCTCCCCACCTAGAGAACCATTTGTTAACATTTTGATGCATTTTATGTTAGGCTTTATTTATATTTTTGCTTTTGTTAATACTTTCTATAAAATTGGGATCATCTTGCAGATAGTTTTGTATCCTGTTTTTAAATTTTAAGTAATTGTTTGTCAAAGTTATTTTCTTGTTGCATAATGTTTTTAAAAATGTGAATTTTGATGACCTTATAATACCTTATTGTATTACTGACTTTACTATAATTCATTTAATTATTCCTCTACTACTGGACCTTTACGTTGTTTGTAGTCTTACCTAACATAAATAACTATTTGTAGTAATTTAGATGATGCTTTGCTCAGTTTTCAGATTGTATCTTAAGTACTCTTGCAATTAAGGGAAAAAAATTCTGTTGTTAACTCAAACTATAGTTTTATTTTGTTTTCAATCAGCTTGTTCTTAAAGAATCACACCTTAGGAAAAAAATCAGCATTCTTTTCTATTTGCTTCAAAAATTATCATTCTACATGAATAGTCTCATTTTTATTTGAAGGCAGCTTATATTGATCACTTCTGTTTTTGGACAGGAGAGAATGGTTAATTTATTATTCTTGCGTAGGATTCCAGTAGCTGTGCCTGCTGCATTAAAAACTGCTCTTAAAACAGCTGAAACAAGAGGCTTTTTTTTTTTTTTTTTTTTTTTAAAGGAAGGTGTCTTGATTACATTTATGCAGTAAATTAGGCTGAGAAAAAATATAGTTAGCTGATTGCCTTTCTTTAATCAGCTTTTAATTATCACAGGGCAGATGATCAAAATTGCAGATTAGGCATGACCCTTATTTTGCTTTTTAACTTCTTCCCTTTGGTATTCCCTACCTTTTCTTTGCCTGCTGTGAAATACAAGAATGGTAAGTAATGCCTGGAGAAATTTATCATTAATGACTCTTGCTTACATCTAAAACTGTAATGACAAACTATTAGTGTATTTGATGATGTAGCTAGGCAAACTACATATTTCAGGACCATTTTCTCCCTGACCTTCCTACCGCTATTTGGCAGACAGTCACATCCAAAGTCACTTTTAGACCTAAGTGTAGTTTAGCTTGTATACACTCCTTAGGTCATTTATTATTTTTCAGCTCTCTCCTTCATTTTTGCAGTTACTTGAAATGAAAATGTTAAAAAATTGGTAATAATTGTAAAAATAATTGGAATGATATAGCAAAAAAAGTATCCTATTTGGAAAGCCTTTTAAGTGAAAATGAAAAATTAAATTGTATTTGAATGAGAAACACTATTTTTTCTTTCACTTTAACATTTATTTTTATTAATTAATTGATTTTTTAGGACTAGAAAAAATTGTTCAATGTTCATTGGGTCGTTTCACCAGTCTGGACTTTCATTGAACCACCAAAATAGTGAAGGTATGTTTTCATGGTAGAGTCATATAAAGGAAATTAGTCTTTGCCTAAAAATAGAAGACTTAGTTAGATATACATTTATTTACAACTAGTCTGGTCAATTATATATATCTATATATCTATCTAGATATATAGATGTATAGATTTCTTTTTTGGTAGAGATGGGGTCTTGCTATGTTGCTTAGATTAGCTTTGACCTCCTGGGCTCAGGCAAATTATCCTGCCTTAGCCTCCCAAATAGTTGGGGCTACAGGCATGCTCTACTGAGCCTGGCTTACCATACATTTATAAATATGAAATGAGTGTTGCTATTGACTTAGATCATGGTTAATAGAGTTACCTATGGGAGTAGCAGCTCAGGTGCCATTAGTATCTGCTACTCAAAATGTGATTTGGGGGCTGAAATTTGAAAACAAAGTTTATTTCCTATGTTCATAATATTTTTAATAAGAATTTCATGTTTTTCTTGACACAGGCCACAGGCCAGTTTTGCCTTGGTTTGAGCTATATTAGAGGATAGCTGTCTATCTTTTTGCGGTGTCTACCAATGCTTCCTCCAGAGTGAATGTCAGGTATATTGTGTCACAGTGTAGTAAATATTTATAGTGTTCAGTGAAACCTAGTATTATAAGAAAAGGATACAAGGACTTGATAACATTTTGGAAAGATAACTTTAAAAAGCTCTGTCTTCTCTTGCTCTGTTGCTACGCAACAAAGCAGTACCACTTTTGCCCACCACCAGCTCTTATGTGTACTTTTAGTGTCTAGAGTTTGGTCTTTAATATGGTTTATTCTTTTAACAAATATTTATTAAGCCTGCTATATACCAGGCATATGGGTGCCAAGGGTGTGAATGCTAAATAAACCAGGGATTCTTAAAGGGTAGCTGATCCATTTTGGAGCATGACAATATCAGGATGAGCCTGAATGTATCATTATTACTGAAAAGCAAGGATGCTTTCAAGGATGTCTGAGGCCAGTGCTGGAGTAATAAATGGTTAGCTCAATGGTGCTGTGGCCAAACTGTGATAAACTGGCCAAACTGATACATTAAGTAGGGATAAAAACCCAGTAATTTAGAGTTCATAGAAATAAGTTTGTGAAAAGACTATGAGTTCATAATGATACTCAAAAAATGTTAAGAGTGTACAAAAGATTGTCTCAATACAAAAAGAAAAGCAACTATAGCAGGATGTTTAAGAATGGGCTGGATGTGGTGGCTCACACCTGTAATCCAACACTTTGGGAGGCTGAGCCAGGATAATTGCTTGAGCCTAAGAGTTCGAGACCAGCCTCGGAATCACAGCAAGACCCCTGTCGCTACACACACATGCACACAATTATCTAGGTATGGTGGTGCATGTTGCACTGAGGTGGGAGGATAGCTTGAGCCCAGGAGGTTGAGACTGCATGAGCCATGTTTACAGCCCAGGTGACAGAGTGAGACCCTATCTCAAAAAAGAAAGTTTTAATGACTAAGAAATGGGGGCCTGTTAATATCTGTGCATTTTGATTTTTTAATTAAATACATATCTATTTATAAATCATAGGATTTTTTGTTTATCACTGTTTAAGTAGGGAAAGAGTCAGGCAGTCCTGGAAAAAGTAAGAATTGTACCAAGGAAAGAAAGGCCCACCACACAGTACCAGCAGTGACACATAAAACGTATAAAGTGGGGTCTGTGTCCCCAGATGACAAATTAACCTGGTATCCAATTAAGGAGACTTTTCTGCAGAGACTAGATCCTTATCTCTTAGTAAATAAAAGCCTTAGATGGCCCTGCCTATCATTATAAGATACTAAATGGCAGGAATAAGTTTCTAATAATACTACATAACTTATCAGTACATAATAAGTGACAAGACAAAAGCTTTTGTAACACCAACCAAGTAAAACTTAAAACATTCTGGGACAAAACATTAGATTACAAAAAGTAAACTTTGTGAAGTTTAAGGTATTTATTTTCAAGTAAAGCCAGATAATTGGCTGGTCAGGTGGAATAATCTTGAGAGAAATAATCTCATGCCCCAACAAAATATCAGGTAGTCTGTAACCCTGGAAAGGTGTCAGAGTATTACTTTAATCTTAAAAAGGTATAAGAATAACTATAGAAATGAAGAAGAATGAATTACACCAATGATACTGCTATTTTAGAATTAGTTTAAGAGCAGTAGTCTTTTATATCTTTGAAATCGTAAAAAGTTATGTCAAATTTTTAGTTTAAATTGTTTAAGGAAATTTAAGTTTGTTATCAATGTTTAAATGTTAAATAGTAATTTTCAAGTTTTCCTGTCTTAGATATGGAAGTTTAATAAATTAATCATTAAACAAATGTAAGTGTAAGTGGTAATTAATGTTCCTCTTTAAATATAAAAAAACTTTGTGATTTTTAAAAGGTTTAATAAGTATCAAATGGCCTAATATAATTCAGAGTATGCCAAACATAACCTCCAAATTTAGTAAAAACTATTTAGCACTTTTTACAAGATGTAGTTATAGATTAAACAAAAAGAATTGTGTTTATAAAGCTGTAATTATATCATCTTAGAGGGTGAAGTCTTTTTTTTTTTTTTTTGTAATAATGTATTGAACAATTTCAGACAGAGGTGTCATGGATAATGTCATGCCCTGGGCATTCCTTTCACCTTTGGGTATTTTCTTTTTTCTTTTTCTTTTTTTTTTTTTTGAGATAGAGCCTCTTTCTGTCTCCCAGACTGGAGTGCAGTGGCATGATCTCTGCTCACTGCAACCTCCATCTCTGGGGATCAAGTGATTCTCCTGCCTCAGCCTCCTGAGTAGCTGGGATTACAGGCATGCACCACCATGCCTGGCTAATTTTTGTATTTTTATTAGAGACAGGGTTTCACCATGTTGGCCAGGCTAGTCTTAAACTTGTGACCTCATGTGATCCACCCGCCTCGGCCTCCCAAAGTGCTGGGATTACAGGTGTAAGCTGCCACGCCTGGCCTCTCCTTTGGGTTTTGACTTTAGCAGGTGTCATCAATATTTACACAAAAATTTATTTTTATTTTTATCATACCCAATTCTAGTATTTATTTTAAAACAGGGTTCCACTATGTCATATATTCCCATGACTCCAACCTCCTGCCCATTTGGCCTCCTGAGTGCCAGCCATTGATGCCTTGTGATGCCATTGGCATCTGTGCACTGTTGTCACCACTCTCCTCGAACTTCTGAGTCACAAGTCTCATAGGCTGTTCCTTTAAAAGTGCCACATGGCCAGGTGAGGTAGTGCATGCCTATAGTCCCAGCTACTAGGGAGACTGAATTGGAAGGATCCCTTGGGCCCAGGAATTTGAAGTGTCAGTGGGCTATGATTGTGCCACTGCATTACAGCCTGGGTGACAAAGCAATACCCCCACCTCTAAAAAATAAAAAATAAAAAAATAGTGCCACATGCACCAGGATTATTGCTTTGTGTGTTTCTTGCTGCCCTAAAGCAGCTGTGACTAGAGATCCATAGAGCTGGTAGTTCTCTTCCATTCTGGCACTTCATTGCAGTTCTTTCTTGCCTTTACTCCTTTCAGAGTATTCAGAACAAGAAGCTCATTTTATTATAATTCCAGACTATAGGTTAAATCACGTACAAGTAAATTATTAAATTATTAGCTTTTATAGCTGACTGTGTTCTAATACAGACCTTTGTCCCAATTCAAAGGGTAAATTCTAACCAAATTGTAGAAAGATAAAGATAAGCCAACTATCTTAAGCAAATATAATAGCTTTGGCCTTAAAACACCTGTGTATAAGTTAAATTTTGTGTATAAGTTAAACCATGCTTCTCTGGCCATTTTCTTTGAATTTGATGCTTTAGAATTATTTCTCATGTATATCATTACATTTTGCCTCTCTAAAGTGAAAGTAGAAAATCTGAAAATTCTTTTAAGACCATCGATGCTAGGAAGAAACTGCATCAACTAATGAGCAAAATAACCAGCTAATATCATAATGACAGGATCAAGTTCACACATAACAATATTAACCTTAAATGTAAATGGGCTAAATGGTCCAATTAAAAGACACAGAATGGCAAATTGGATAAATAGTCAAGACCCATCAGTTTGCTGTATTCAGGAGACCCCTCTCACATGCAGAGACACACATAGGCTCAAAATAAAGGGATGGAGGAAGATCTACCAAGCAAATGGAAAACAAAAAAAGGCAAGGATTGCAGTCCTAGTCTCTGATAAAACAGACTTTAAACCAACAAAGATCAAAAGAGACAATGAAGGCCATTACATAATGGTAAAGTGATCAATTAAACAAGAAGAACTAACTATCCTAAATATATATGCACCCAATATAGGAGCACCCAGATTCATAAAGCAAGTCCTTAGAGACTTACAAAGAGACTTAGACTCCCATACAATAATAATGGGAGACATTAACACCCACTGTCAACATTAGACAGATCAACGAGACAGAAAGTTAACAAGAATATCCAGGAATTGAACTCAACTCTGCACCAAGTGGACCTAATAGACATCTACAGAACTCTCCACCCCAAATCAACAGAATATACATTCTTCTCAGCACCACATCGCACTTATTCCAAAATTGACCAGGTAGTTGGAAGTAAAACACTCCTCATCAAATGTAAAAGAACAGAAATTATAACAAACTGTCTCTCAGACCACAATGCAATCAAACTAGAACTCAGGACTAAGAAACTCAATCAAAACCTCTCTGCTACATGGAAACTGAACAACCTGCTCCTGAATGACTACTGGGTACTTAACGAATTGAAGGCAGAAATAAAGATGTTCTTTGAAACCAAGCAGAACAAAGATACAACATACCAGAATCTCTGGAACACATTTAAAGCAGTATGTAGAGGGAAATGTATAGCACTAAATGCCCACAAGAGAAAGCAGGAAAGATCTAAAATTGACACCCTAACATCACAATTAAAAGAACTAGAGAAGCAAGAGCAAACACATTCAAAGGCTAGCAGAAGGCAAGAAATAACTAAGATCAGAGC